TCCAGTCCTCATGCATACGTGCATTTACTGGTGGTTAGTGCTTTGAGAAAACTGATGTTTCCAGTGTGATTACAGAACTGGCAAAGAAAAAAGAAAAGGAATTCAAACAAGTAGCAGGGGATACATCACTGATTGTTTTCTCAAAGGAGCAGTGAATTGTCAAATGCTCTTAGTTAATTCTGTGCTGCTCAGAAAATGCAAGAGACTACAGAGACCAGCCAGAGGGAGCAGCTGCAGATCAGTGTGAGGGCATCCTCGGTGGTGATTCCTGGGATAGGCACTAAAGCTTCAGCCCTCTGGAGGTGAATGATGAAGCAGTAAAATTTCTGATGTCTTCCAGCACTGGTTAACATACTGGGAGGAAGCTGCAGTGAAGCAGGAAGTGGTTAATATTGGCACACTTTCCCAATTCTCAATGATAGAGGGAACCAAAACATTCTGCGGAGGAGCTATCAGTTGTCGCCTGTCTTGCTCTCACAGACATCCTTGTCTTTTCCCTTCAGCATAAAAACATGTCTGTGTTGAGCACACAGTGCTGTAAAGATATTGAGTAAGGTGTCTGCGCATCATAAGCAATCTATTTCAGAACAAGACAAATTGATGGTTAGGGCTGTCCTGCATCTGATACCTGAGCTATCTGGCACAGCTGTACACTGGATAAAGTAGACATTCCCAGAGACCAGTTAAAAATTCTTGAACTTACTGCAGTCAAGGGCAAGAGACATAACCAACTTTCTGGGTTATTTTTCTGAATCAGTGCCAGAATGCCAACACAACCAAATCTGGCCCTTTCTGCTACTGGTGCCACCTGACAGTAGTTACACAAGCATATCTGGAGAAGTCATTGCCCATTCTTCACTATCCAGCCTGTTGCTCTATGATAGCATTTCAGTGGCTTTAGCCGTGCTACACGGTTCTCCTACATATCTGCCCACATTGTTATCAGGTGCCTGACTGAGTGTGGGCTCAGATTAGATTAGATAAGATTAGACTTACAGAAACAAAAGAAATGAAGTATAAAGACATGCTTGCGTTTTCTGAGTAGCACAGAATTAACTAAGAGCATTTGACAATTCACTGCTCCTTTGAGAAAACAATCAGTGATGTATCTCCTGCTACTTGTTTGGATTCCTTTTCTTTTTTCTTTGGCAGTTCTGTAATCATACTGGAAACATCAGTTTTCTCAAAGCACTAACCACCAGCAAGTGCATGCATGTACGAGGACCTGGAGATTCACTGATAACAGCAGTTGCCCACTCTTGGAAGGGAATGAAAGGTGAACTGTCCTCCGCTCCTAATTCACATGGAAATTCACAAGTATGCTCATGTCTCTAAAGCAGGCATACACACCTCCTGTTCATTGCACTGAGAGCTGAATATCCAATACACTTAAAGCTTATTGTAAGGAGAGTGATTTAGCTTGATTATTCTACCAATCCACATTTGATCATGAAGAGGATCCATGTTCTGGGCACAACCTCCCACCCTCAGAAGTGCCGCATCTCAGAAGAAGTGGCATCTCAGTAGCAACAGTTTAGGAACTGTAGTGCCTGCTGTGTGGAAGATCTGGGAAGAGATTTTCCTCCTTGCAGAGCAGTCTCCTGTGGGAGTTTTTGCCCTAGTTGTCTTAGATTGTTGCTGGGTTAGTGGTTACATCTTGCATTACGATGCACAAATGACATGGGAGAGTAATTTGCCCTCAGCTGGTGTTTATGTCCTTATTCCCCTTTCTCCCCACTACTCAATGCATCCCTTGAATTCTATTTTTGCACTGTCCTTATTTTGCTTTGCCTTACACCCCTTTCTTATGTATGCTCTCTTCTTTCTTTGCTCAGCCCAAGTTAAGTGACAGTGTTGGTCCATTAGGGTGATGTGTGTGGGTGGGATGGTGACCATCAGACACCCAATCATGCATTTTTCCCAACAAACAGATCACTTTCTGTTTTGTCAGCTGACTGACAGGAGACTTCTCTCATTGAAGTGGCTAGCCAAGCCCTCCAGTCTGTCTTTATGACAGGGAAAATCACAGTCCATGGGCTGAAAAGCACGTGCTGCATCTTGGCCCACACAGACTGAAAGAAATCTCTGAGCTGCATCCAGCTCACCCAGGGACTGCATATTGTGCAGGCACAATTACAATTTTCATTCTTCCATTTTATCACTTGTGGTTTTACATGGGAGCCCGGATCACAGACATTTCAAAATTTCCACACTAAGAAACTAAGTGCATAATTAGGTATATAAGCACCTTTTAAACTCTAGCTTTTAGTGCTTACTAAGGCCATGAAGGCTACTGCTGTGGAAACAGAGGTGACTGGGGCATTCCATGGTGTATGGCTCTTGTAAATACAGTCATACAAAGAACGTACAGCTCTAAAAAGAAATCAGGTCAATGAATTCAACATACTAAGGTTGAAATGTCAATGCTTGGGAGTACAGTCTGATGACATGCTTTGAGAAACTACACTGGTAGTCATTTCAACGAGACCTGAAACAGAGAGCGCGTGAGTGAGCGAGCAAGCAAAAAAACATTACCACAAAGGGTATCATCTGGCTACAGCATCAAAAACATAGAAATTATGTCAACGACTGCACATTTAACTCTACTTCTCTCTTTGCGTGGTGCTTGCAGCATTTCTGATACGGAAACTCACATGTTCTCCACAGCTTAATTAGTCATGAATTTGCAGGGCACCATTTGCTTCAAAGGGCAGCAGTTATTTGGAAATATTTAACAATATTTTGTCTTCATTGTGGCTACACATTTCACTTAAAACAATTTAGATCTATTTTAAGAAGAATCTGCTTTTAAGCCCTTAGTATTGCTGCTGTCATAAGATCGGTGTAATAATGACATATTTTGTAAGCCCAGTAACTTGGTCTGGGTTTCATGGATTCATTAACTCAGGTGGAGTCAAAGAATGTTGTAATAACTACCTCTGACATGTTCATTTCCAAAGGGAGACATTTATGTAGACAGCTGCCCCCTCCATGACCTCAGAAAAGACATTTACAAAATGACTGGGTGATGCACAGCTGTATGCAAAACATTGCAGAAGTGGTGGAGAGTAAGGGGTTGGGAGTGGTGCTACTCTCTTCTTTGGGATTCCAGGAATGAGCATTTATTTTCCAGTCAATGCAATACTTTCTCATGGGCAGAGAAGGCAGGTACCTCAGATTATGAGCTTCTGGCATCTTCAATCAGTTGCCCGTTTCCTTTCACTACTGAATAACTTCCTTACCTCTATAAAACCTTATGATTCCCTATCCTTTTCCAATCTAGACTTTCAAAAGACCTTAGGCTGTAGAATGACATTACTCATTGCCTACTTTCTCTACTCTAAGAGGAAATGTAATCTGACATGTAACCTCAGCCTACCAAAGAGAATAAAAGAATGAGCAGCAATAGATTAATTCACCCATTTGATTTTTTGTTTGTTTGTTTGTTTTGTGTGTTGTTTTTTTTGTTGCTTTTTTTTTTTTTTCCCCCTAAACTGGCATATTATGTATCCAAACTTCCATTAAAAAACCCCAAATTTTTAAAATCTGTTTGCTTAAAACTTTGATTTCCATCAACATGATCTTTGGAAAATAAATTGTTTTAACAAGCTTTTCTGAATCCAGTGATTATCAGTGGAAGGATACACGGCTCTTTGTGCTTCTTCCATGCCTAGCTCAGTTAGGAGGTAGGCTGTTGTAAGAAGCAAGGCTTCCGTGAAGCAGAGAAGTGCTCTGAGTATGACTGTGCTCCTCCTTCAGAAAATTCCAGACTCGACATAAGAAATCACCTCTGATTCTTTACCATTTTCACATGAACCACAAACTGTTTCCCATCTTTTTATTTATTTTTTTTTTAGTCTCCATTTTCAAATTAAATAGCACATATGTTGATGGAAGAAAACAGATAGACTGTGAGGTTTTACAAATGCAGTCATACATACTGGGCTAGGAGTGAGACCTAAACACTATGCAGCCCCTTAACTTTCCAAGTGCTCTGTAACCATCGTTACCTATTTAATCTCATATTCACTCATTTGACTAAACCTTGTAGAAGGCCTTAGCAAAGATCTGTCTTCTCTGACTGGTTTGACAGATGCCCAACTAAAACCTTGATGGATGCTTATACTGGGATATTAGGTTGGACCTTGGCAATCCATAGTATACAAGAAAACATGAGTAGGTGGAATCAGATGGGACTGAAGTCGAAAATATCAAGAAAAAAGATTATGGTAAAAAAAGGTTAAGGGGGAAACAGATAAGTATTACTACAGGATATAATGCTGGAGAGAAATGATGAGGATGGAAACTAGAGATGAAAATAAGAAAAATAGGAAAGCTAGAAAACAAAAGAGGGAGGAATAGAGAAAACAAAAAAAACCTAAATATAGAAGTACCAAATACAGAAAAATGCCAGAAGGAGCAGAAAGCCAAAGGCAAACAGGTGAAAGGAATTTTAAAGAAAATAATGAGAAAACGTACTGACAATATGTGATGATAACTTTTTTTTTTTTTTTTTTTTAATGAACAGGTAATATAAGCAACCTGAGTGTAAAAATACAGTTTACATTTGTGGTCTGACAGAATGTTGGAGAGACCAGAACTTCAGCTGATGGCTAGGTTTTTGTATCAGACTAAATTGGTCTAAGTTTAACTGAATGAACATGAAAGCAGGAAGGAATGGGGTGCAATATGTGTGAGTATTTTAGAATTAGAAAAACATCCTGAGTCATTACAGAAGAAACACATGGATTCTGGAATAACTCATACAATGTTTTCCTTATGTTTCAATATTTTCTTTCCTTAATTAGTGGTGGCAGAAAACTAACATGTGGTGAGATTTGAGAAACCACAATAACCGTATTAGCTAAACGAGAGTAAATTTCCTTTCAGAGTTCTAACATACAAGCAAAAACTAGCTAGATGTGGGGGCTTCATTTGCATACCAGGCAGATTTTCAAATAGATGTCTTAAAAAGAAAAAACTCTTTCCATTTGCCGCAGTACGAAGGTGAAGCACAAAGTGTCTGCAAGAAAGGCTGTCTGAGCTTTGTAACTGGGTCAGAAGAAAATGCGCTAAGGAGGTAAGTTGTGCTAGCTATCTTGTACTAATTTGGGCATTAACCTAAAAGGACTTAATTCTTCACTTTCTGGAAGACTGTTTCTCTTGCTAAATATTGGATTTATTGCAAGCAAAAAGCATGAGATACATTGAAATTAAAAAGCTCTTGGATATGGAAAAAATTGAGAAATAATTTTTGTAGTGGATAATCTGAAAATCTGATTTATCTTTTAATGAAACAAGCCATCTCATTATGCCTAGTCTCATTCTGTGAAATACATGTGGTAGTATTCAATTGCTTTCCAAGCTAAACTGTTAGCATTCCAAATGCAGGCTGAGATGCTGGAAGTTATTACTAGTAGACGTGCTTCTTTGAATGTGGAGTACAATCATGATGGACTTGGTTGGTGACATGTAGTCGCATCCATTTTTATAATATAGATAAAATTTCTGCTTCCATTACTTTTTATTTGCTTCTTACATGACTGCCTTAGGCTAGATTTATCTTTGTACAAAGAAGTTTGTGTGTGAGACTCAGATCCATCTCATCAGTCCCAGAGATAAGAGAAAGAAGCACTTAAAGTCCCACAGAGGAATGGGCCACCTGCAAATCCCTTCACCAACACAGAATGTGCTCCTGCTCTGAATGCAGGGCTGTTTTTAACAGGGCTGGAGGACATGTTTTAAACTGTCAAACACAGTCAGCAGGAATCAGTGGTTTAGTTCAGACAGTATTTAGGCAGAAAATGAGTTATCTGTATTCAAGATCTATGCTGTCACACATAGCTGTGTTACTGCAAGAAGTATAAGCACTTCAACTTATCAAAAGTAACTGTACTGTTTCTCACAGCACTTGACGGAAAGAAGAATTAGAAATGAAACTCATATTTTTATTTCCAAGAAAGTTCAGAAAATACCTTAGGAACGTTCACATGAAACACGAATCATGTTAATTAGATGATTTCTGTTATGACATTTTGAAATGCAAATAACAGCAAGTTAGTGGAACAATAAAAAATGTGTTGTTGTTTTTTTGTTTTTTTTTTTTAAAGTAAAATCCCATGGTAAAAGGGATAAGGTGAATTAAGTGGCCTGAAAATTCCTGAGGCTTTAATGATGAAAATTGCTATGAAATAAATAAGTGAAATAAGTGGTGAGGAGTAGTTTGTTACTGTGATTAAGGATGTCTCGAAAGAGTCGCAGGGTTTGGGCAGCTTGCCAGCGCAATTGGTGCGCACCTTCCCCTGCATCATTGCTCATACATCCTCTCTGCTCGCAACTCTGCCTCTGCTCTGCCCTTAGCACTGACCCACAGCTCAGCTCTACTTGCTGAGCATTGTAGGCCAATGAAAACATAGGTATCCTTCTGCAGCTACTGTGAGACGCTGTACCTGGTTGGCTCCAAAGCAAGCTGGGACACGTGGCTGGGCATGGTGGCTGCTAAGAATACAGGAACGGTCCCACAGACCAAAGATCTTCTCAGGGCCATGTCTTACTTCTGAAAATGGCCAGATGCAAGCACCTGGGGCAGAAAACATCTGCCTTGTGGCTCCTGTCCTGGGATATCTTTGCAGCTTTCTGGAGCCTGTTTCTAACCGTGCCACTGAGCTGGAGACTTCCTGCAAGCTATTAGGAGTAATTACCTCTGCAGGCCTCCTAGATCTGCATTTGCCTAATCTCTCTTTGATCTTTTGTGTGTGTTTTTCCTCAGTAACATCCAGAAGCAAAAAATCCCCCAGTGCGTTATGATATTGTATTTTACCTGATATTACTTGCTAGCTTCACTGGCATCTCCCTATGTTTTTGTTCCCTGACTCAGTAAATCATTTTGCATTTAAAGCCTCCCAGAACTCGTGGCTTTATAGAACTCTGTCATGTCTAAGAAGTTTCTTTTCTAGACTGCCTTCTCCATCGTTCTTCAGCTAGTCATCCCAAACACCTGATAACTGTCTAGCGACAGCCTTGCCTCACCATATGCCTCCTGCGCAGGAATGAGCAGAACTGTATTGTAGTTGTGTGGAGGGAGCTCAACAGATTTTTACAGAAGCATTGCCATAACTTCTGCTTTGTCGCTTCTTGCTTTTCTAATCATTCTTAATAAAATGCCGCTACTTTATGCTGAGTTTTGTGGAGATTGAGATCAGGTAGGATAGCCTCCTGGCTGCTTAAGGCATTATAATTTAGTATTAATGCATTTGAAAAGAAATAGAACGTCGTAGGCAACTAGAAAAGAATGACAGATCTCTAAAAGATGTCCCAGGTACTCAGTGAGCAACAGAATCACGTGTGGCAGTCTGACTCCAAAACTTCATGCCCATCCAGTCACCACAGATCAATAAGTCTTTTGACCACTGCTGCAACTCGATCCTATAACTGCAGATGTTATCTTGATTTATCAATGGAAATTTGTAATGGAAATGATCTTAATGGCCTGCTACTAATGTTTCTCTTCTCTTTCTGTCTTTAAATCATCTTCTCTGCACTGAAACTCTTAAATCTCCCTTCCCCATATTGAACTTTTATAATCATTAGCTCAATTATTTTACAGATTCAGCCTTAATCTTCCCCAGATCTGGGATGACAGGCAGTGCTTTGTTCCAAACAGCAATAAAAAGTCCAAATGATTTTTTATTGAGTCCATTGAAGTTAGTAGAGTCACAATCCAGATTGATTTCACTTTTTTGCTCTGTAAGCAGCAAAGGTATTTTTTCAGCAGTAATAATTTAAACATCCATGGTTGTGTCAGCATACAAATTAATACATAGGAAAAATGATATCCTCATTTCAGGGTTTTTAAGTATCAATGTGTTATGCTAGTGATTCATGCAAATATGCTGGGATTTAATTGTAGTTGAAACCAAGGGCTTGGATCCAAAAAAAAACCCTATACGTATAAGAAAATGCTGTATGCCTGCTTAATTGATTATGAATGATGGCAACTTATTTCTAAATCCACCCAGTTACATCTTTGTTTCATTTCCTGGTTATGGTTCATGGAACGCAGTACCATACTTACACTGCTTGGGATCTACTTGTGTTGTGGTATGCTCTGTTCTGAATGAAAACAGGAGCAAAACATCTATCATCCTATATTTCTTTAGGATCTATTAATTTAAGCGTAGCTTAAAAGACTGCCTGTATTAATGCTGTCTGGTGCCTCTAATGAGGTAACAAGGCTCAACTGAACACTCACAAAAACAATTTCTAAAATAAGAAGAAACATACTTTTTCAGTTTTCTCTACAAATTACCTACTAATCTAAATTGCAATCAGCAACTAAAAAATCATGAATCATAAAATGAAGTATTTTCATTTCTGATTTCAATTAACTTTAACAACAGATGTAAACAGATCAAAGAGTCACAGAATAATTTTCACTGGAATGGGCCTTTAAAGATCATCCTAAACTTTATCTTTAATGATTCTAATGCTGGCTCAGGTTTTTGAAAATAGAATTATTATATAGGTAGTCTCACTCAATTATTCAATGACTTCTCTCTGCCTTGCACATCTCCAGCACAGACAAGGTTAAATAATTTCCTTTACGTAAAAAGAAGCAAGTTATTGCCTGGCAGGAGGAAGTGGTGATAATTTCAATTTAACTCTGTACCTTTGACTCTTGCAGTTATTTCTTGTTTTTTAAATCAAAGCGTACTTCTATTGAGGCTGATTGTAAGTGTGCTTGATCCAGCCATAGAAGAATGTTAACAGAGTCGTACAGTATCATCTGACCTACAGACTAAATCTGGTAAGTACTAAAACCCATTGTCTTATAATTCCAATTCACCTCTTTATACTTAAAACTGTAGTTAGTCTTACTTTGGAGTACTCACATATTGCTTTTATAGCTAAAGGAAAAGTAGATGTAGATAGAGTGGAAAATAGAGGGCTTATATGACATTTAATGTTCAGAAGTATGTTTGTGTGCATGTGCATAGATGTGCCTGTATGTAATAGATAAACAATATTAGCACACACTCAACTGAGCTCACTCCTATATGTATGGAAATTTATTTTTGAAAATTCCCTAATATATTAGTGCAAAGTAAAGCTGCCTATTGAAAGACTATTGCAGAGATTTAAATCAGGAAGTTTATAGTTCTGATTCAGCTTCCTTTGCAGTCAGTGCATCTTCCTAACAACTTTGGTGAATTTTATTTCAAATTCTCAAAAGGAAATAAGCTCAAGAGATTTAAATCAGATTCTAAATCTGGTCTCTGCTATTCTGCTATTCTGGTTTCAGTTTGAGTCTTTGTCTACCCTCTACTAGCCAGCCTCAAGAGGCTTTTGTTGGTCCTCCTGTGAAGAAATGTGTGGCTGGTGGTGCCCCAATGAATTTCTTAGGGATATAGAGAGCCTATGCTTACAGACTTCAGGAAACACATGTACTCCCTTATTTCTAATCGCCTTCACACGTTTTTTATTCCATCTGTGCTTTGTATTCAAGAATAACTTTTATATCCAAAGAAGGTATGTCTTCCTATTTATTTATTTATTTATTTATTTAACAGGTAAAATAACAGTTTCTAAAATAATAACCTAGACAGGAGTCATGGCTTTATGCTTTTTTGGTTTTCAGTATTCCACATCATAACATCATGTAGTGCACTGGGAGTTAAAGTGTTAATGCTCCAATTCCAGGTACCTATCCCTATACATTACGGAAGTCATGGGATCTGACCCTTCCGGGGTGGGGCGGTCTCTTACTGCCTGGCAGTGGGTGCTGGAGGTGCTTTCCTAGCCGTTCCAAGCTTCTCAGGTTTGACTCAGTCTCAGTCAAACCTCTCCCTCTCCTATCTTATTTGATTTATTAGTCTCAATTTCAATTAGATTGTATTATATTGTGTTATCTTGCATTCCAATATCACAGTTAGTAAAAAAAAGCTTTCTTTCATAGATCATTGTCGCTGTTTTTTTTTTTTCCTTCCTTGAGCTCAGCTCCCATCTCCCTATCTCTTTTTCCTTTCCATTCCCATTTTGTGGGGTCAGGGGGTGGCCCAGGGGCCTACTGCCCCCCTGTCCTGGGCATAGATTGATCTAGTTAACTCTGTGACAACAGGTAAGTGTTTAGTACAGGCAGTGCAAAGGGTAACGGAGACACCACAAATGGGCATGTGGCTGGCTGGGGCAGAGGAGGAAGAAGCAGCAGCTGCAGACGAGGGTAGCTTAGAGAAGATAGACCACAGTCCATAGTCCCACGTGTACTGTATGACTTGACGGCTTGCCTTATACACCTCTGCACTTCAGAGAAGACACTTCAAGTTATTAAATCTTGCTTCAGAAGCTGTTCGAGGGTTTTCAGGCTGTCATATCCCTGCAGCTTCTAAAAATCAGCTTTGAAAAGCTCACAGAGGAAGTTGGAGCGGTGGTTAAAGATTTGTTTAAAAGACAGGAAAGCCAAAGAAGCTGCAATGCTTAAACCACATGCTTCAGATGCTGTTTTACCCATCTGAAGACGTCCAATATGAGCCAGACTTCCTACTTGAGAAACACTGATTCTTGCTATGCCTTTGGAGAGTGAAGACTGTCCTGTCCTTTCCCTCTCCCAGGATCCTTGTAATATCTGGACTGCGTTTGCAGATCTAGATCTCCTGCCCGTGGGTTCCTGTGTGGGGTTAAGCAAGTCAGTTACACCCAGCTTTGTGCTTGTGGCCTCCAATGGCATGCTCCTAACAATGGCATGTTCCCCATTTTATACATCTAAAGTCAAAACTTTAGACCCTGTGGTCTGAAGTCTGAGTCTCACTGCAATCACAGTCAATGGATTTGACTTTACATAACTGAAATCCTGCACAGTGATAAGCACTCTTAAAAGTGATGTTAGGGGGGGGGAAGGGGAGGACAGGTACTTACTGTACTTACTGTAAAGACTCAATGCTTGAGTTTCTCCTCTGTAAAAGAGAGTCAATAACATTTTTTCATCACACATACATAAAAAAGAGGTTAAAACAGTACATATAGTTATGGAGTATAGTAAGATGCTAGATTCTGCTGTTTACTCTTCTATATCTATCTCAGTACACTGATTTAAACTGTCATACTGCATTTATGAAAGTGGGATTTGATTTATTCAAATTTCCTGGGGAGTGAAGTCAACGTGAATTAAAGGACACATACTATCATCCATAAGCTCTAAAGAATATATGATGGCACTCTTAATGATACTGATACAAACCACCCACCTTCCATAACTGCACGCCGTGCTGCAGAGATGTGCGTTTTGTTGAGAAACTGTGTCTTGTTGATACAGCTGATGTGATCTGGTTCTTCTTGGAACCCAAGTTCCATTTCCAAATGTTTTTCTGCTTCTTCACATTTCTTGTGACATTTTCCCAATCCAATTTTTATTTCCTTTTCAGAAATCTCTGGAGAGCATTTTGAAACTCTTCTCCACATATATTTCCTTCTTAGAAGCTCACTAACAAAATGAATACTGTAAGTACTTAAACGACAAATCATATATAGGAGGGATTAACGCCTACGAGTTGACTCTTGATCTTTTCCTTTTATTTTTTTGTTACAGACAGATTTCGGTACGACAGAATATTCTTTTGATACAGACTACGCTTCTCTTATTACAGCCCCTTGTTCCAAGTGGGAAGTCAGAAGCTTCACAAAAGCGTTTCTGCCAGTTGCATACTCAGTGATTTGTATCATCGGCCTAGTTGGTAACATCTTTGTAGTGATGACCTTTGCATTATATGAACGAACCAAGTCCATGACGGATGTGTACCTCTTCAACATGGCCATAGCGGACATACTGTTTGTGCTCACTCTCCCTCTGTGGGCAGTGAATTATGCTGCTGACAAATGGATTTTTGGTAATTTCATTTGCAAAATGGCCAGAGGTATCTATGCAGTCAACTTCAGCTGTGGCATGCTGCTTTTGGCCTTTATCAGTGTGGACCGGTACATCGCAATTGTACAGGCAACAAAGTCATTTAAACTCAGGGCAAGAACACTCGCATACAGTAAATTGATTTGTTTGGCTGTGTGGGCATCAGCTATCTTAATCTCCAGTGCCTCTTTTCTATACAGTGAAAGTTATAATATCTCCATTAATGAAACCAAAGAGATTTGCGATCACAGATTTGACAAAATGTCTGACAGCACTGTCCTGAAATCACTGCTGCTGTGTCTACAAGTGGGATTTGGATTTTTTATACCTTTCATATTCATGATTTTTTGCTATGCATTCATTGTCAAGTCCTTACAACAAGCCCAGAATTCCAAAAGAAACAAAGCAATCAATGTGATTGTATTAATTGTAGCTGTTTTCCTAGTTTGCCAGGTGCCCTATAACACTGTTCTTCTTGTGGCAGTTGTAAATATGGGCAAGAAAGAGAAATCTTGTGACTTTGAAAAGGGAATGGCCTATGCAAAATATATCACTGAAACCATAGCATTTTTACACTGTTGCTTGAACCCTGTACTCTATGCATTTATTGGAGTGAAGTTTAGAAGTTATTTTGTGAAGATCATGAAGGACCTTTGGTGCATGAGGTACAAGAAGTACAATAAACGTAGCTCAAGGACAAATTCTGACATTTATCATTCACGACAAACAAGTGAAATTCTGACTGACAATGCATCTTCTTTTACTATATGATACAATTTTTACAACATTATTTCTGAAGGACTCTGTTCACCAAGCAACCTAGTACAGTCTCACTGTGTCTGTAGTAGACAGTCTTTTGGGGCTTCTCTCTACCTCAAGGGGAGCAACCAGGACTTACAATTCCTTTCAGGAAAATAATTAAGATAAAAGAATAACACCGTCCCACGGAAAACTGAGATTTTATTTACTTCTTTGAACATTCATCCTCTTCTAAAGTGCACTCTCAGAATTATCAGAAAAGTGAAGTTTACAGAGGAACACTCCTTGTTTCTAAGAAAAATATTGTGTCTTGTCTGTCCTACATCTCTGAAATATCTCAAAAGCACAAAGGAAATGAATCAGGCTATGTCCAGGCTCATTATACTTACATTTATGCTGTTGTTATTAAGTATTTATACCTGGGAGTCTTATTTAAGTGTAGGTCTCCACTGTATTTTTGTGGTAGACAGGTCACTCTATGGATAATACTAACATAAATGGATGATATTTTGAGCAAAGTACAGCAAAGAAAGCTAACGAAGAAATGAAGAAAGGTTCCAGGAGTAGCTGGAATAGCTGGGCTTAGATGTCAGATCTCATAAATCTTTGCCTGGTTCTACCCTCCACCTGCTCATCAAGAATTGCAGAAGCTTATGCCAAGGCTGAGGCTGGTCAATGCTGACACAGATATCAAAAAGAATGTTTAAAAAAAAAAAAAAACAAAAACCAAAACAAACAAACAAACAAAAATGCAAAATAAAGAGCACTGGAAGAGGCTCCTCAGAGCAGTGCTCATAATACCAAGCCTGCCAGAGTTCAAGAAGTGTTCAGACAATGGCCTCAGAAGTACAGTTTCATTTTTTTGGGAGAGTCTCGCACAGAGCCAGAAGTTGGACTCAATGATCCTTGTGGATCCCTTCCAATTTGGGATATTCTATAATTCTATAATTGACATATGTGCAGAGAGGTTTTTCTGACATTTAATTACTTATCTTCTAAACTGACAAAAGGTCTTTACTTGGGACATTCTTCTCTTCATTTGGCACTGGATTGCAGTTCTGTGCTCTTTCGAAGCTGATCACCTTGTGAACATTTCTTGGTGTGTTGTTTCTTTGTGTTGTTGCATCTTTCTAGCTGAAATTCACACTCCACATTCTAGAAGCCAGCAACTGAACAGAAATGCCTATAGTCAAATTCCAACTCTTTCTGTTGTAACTAGATTGGTTGCAGAACTTTTATTTCTTTGTATTTTGCTACCACTCACAGTTTCCATAGGAAGGGATTTACTAGCACCAAGTATGTACGTATGACTTAATTCAGCTGGAATTTTTGACTAGTTAGTCAGCATTTTACTTACTCTGAATATAGGGATATTTCTAACAAATGCAGATAGTTTTAAGCAGTAGATCCAACTGGAAAGGACTTTCCAGTAGACCCTCAGTGAAATTTCTGTTCATTGAGAGGACGTCACCACCCTGTAACAATATGTGAGGTGGCCAGGTAAACAGGATAAGGAGTTGATGCATATCAAAGAGAGGAATGTAGGTAACAATGAGAGCCCCACGACTTTGTGATTGCAGTGTGCTGAAGCTCCTACCAGTTTTCTGCAGTTCTTCTGCAATGAGGGCAAATTGATTTACTGTTATGCGTAATATTCCATTTCTATGGCAGAAATAAATGAATGCAATATGCAGCTGGATGTTTGTCTTGGATTTTTTTATGCTCATGGCTGAGGAGACAGGATTTTGAATCAGTAACCACATCTTTCTGAGCAATGCAAAGGGACAAGAATAGGTCTGAAGAAAAAAAAAATAAAAAAAAATCTTGAGGAATGGTGTTGATATGGTATGATTTGAAATGAGTATTGATTGTGCTGGTGTAATCCATCCTTGTTTACAGTGCACTGTGACATTCTTAAATGTCAATGCCTGGTGTTATAAAGATGTGTCTACTTATCATCACTGAATAATAACTTAGGTAAGAATATGATTCAAAATTATGTAAATATGTATGTTTGCATTTGTTGTATATAACTCTGGTGATTTTCCATGTGATAATTCAACAAATAAAAAATGTAACAAAGATAAAAACATCATCTCTAAGATTCTAGCTACATGTATTACCTTGAAAATTCTTTTATTCAGTGCAAAATCTCTCATCCCTGAAGATTTAGCATCTCTCTTCCCTTCATGATCACTCTCCACCCTGTTCTATGTGGTATCCCTCCCACAGAGCACTGCTCTTCCTGAACAAATCCTGCCTGGTCTTCCTACAGGCTGCAGCTCTCCAAGCACTGTTCCAACATAGCTGTGTAACATGGGTCTTACCCTTCAGGCACTGCTCCACTCAGGTCCCCAGAAGCAGCAGCACCCCTAGCCCTCCTGCCCCACCACGGGCTGCTCCCCACAGGCTGCAACTCTGGCCTGGGGTGCTCCTGCAGGGGCTCTCCATGGGCTGCAGCTGGAAGTGTTACTAAAGGAAGGAGAACATGGTGTGTGCATGAGATTAAAATGGTGTTTGGGTTACAGGTTGTGCTAATATTAAGACAGATAAAATCTCAATCACCATGAATGGTCTTCCTAGAGAAAAGGGGGTGAAAGGGTTGGGAAGAGCTCGCAAGAGGCTGCTGAGAAGTAGAATTTCGGCTCCAGCCAGTGTAGTGCTGGCTTCATGTCCTCACAGATTTGACTTGAACTTCGTAGGCAGTTACAGAATGGAAGTCTGGATTGTAAAGCATTTAATTTACACATATTACTTTCTTAATTTGTTTTGTGAAATCTACTTTCAGATAGAAGAGAGAGACCAGTTCAGAGTCTGGAAGGGCAGAGCCCATTTGCTAGATGTTGGGCAGCGGGATGCTGCTGGTCAGTGGATGTCACTGACAGTCTTCTGCCTCCAGATGCTTGTTCAGTGTCTTTTATCACTGATAGAACTGACTGGTGAGCTCAGGCCAGTGCTGGGAATTTAGAAAATGCAAAGGACACAAAGCTGTAGGAAGTGGGATGGCATTTTCACTACTTGCATAAAAACTTTTCTGAACTTGCTGCAGGTGCTTCTTTTTATTAAAATAGCTTTGGGGTGCAAGTGCAATACACTGTACATACATGGTGAAACTTCATTTTGTTTTACATATATCCCATCAGTTATCTTTGAAAAAGAGTCTTAGTTTTCTATGATGTTTAAGGACAGAAGGATACATACTGAGCTGTACCATCGCATACATACAGAAGATGCAGCTGAAAAGCTTCAGCAAGACAATTCATGTCCTCCCCCCAGGAAGCTGGGGCTGGGCTGTGGTATTGACTTCACATACTCCACTTGAGTGGATTCCTTTCTGCTTTTGCTTGCTACATGGAAGCTTTGCTTGACATTTCCATTCAAGGAGTTCAGAAGGAGGCAGGTCCTCTTTGCCCAGTGTGAAATAAAGGTGTAATGTCTCAGTACAGACAGCCTAAAGCTAAACCTATTTTCTGGCACATATCTTAAAATGGAACTAATTTGTTAGTCAGCTTTCCATAAAAGTGTCAGTTTTCATGATCCTTAAACTTCATGTGCCCTCTTTTGAGTTTATAAATTCATTTTCTTAGAAGAGCGATCACTATAAGCTAATGGACCTGCAAAAGTCATTGGACAAAGCACATGAAAACCATTTGGGCTTTGCATGTAGGAGGGACAGACAGAGGAAAGAAAATGACAGTTACATGCAAAGAGAGCTTAGAATTCCCAATGAGTAGAAAAATGGGAAAAAATGGGACAAAATGGTCTAGAGATGAACTTTTTTTTTTTTTTTTTTTTTTGACAGAATGGTATTGCAATGATTAAGTACATAATGGACACAAGTGATTTTATTACTTAGACAAAACTTTACTTTCAATCCCTGTGGAGGAATTTTGTTGACTAGAATTGGGAACATTTGAGGAGTTACTGAGCTTGCTGACATAGCATGAAGACAGAACTTTGACAGCTTTGAGAATTTGGACTGAATTTGAAAAATATTTTTTGATTCGGTGAAAATGATAAAGTTTTCAAAATGTCAAAACAGTGTATCTCATGAAAGCATCGCAAATCTCTTTATCTGTCTGGTTAGTTTTCAAATACTGTAATAAAAAAGAAGGAGGAAATGATTTGACAAAACCACTGAAAGAGTCTCATAATCTCTTTTTTCAAACTGCTGCTGAGCAACCAGGGTATCCTCACCACTGCCTGCCTATGAGTTAGGAGCTCATATCCTCATGAAGAGACCCCATGTAAAGTACAGATCCCCTTCCTTGTCCCACTCTCCACCCTGTCCTTCATAAACAAACAATGTCCTGAATGAACAAACAAACAAACAAACGAATGAATAAATAAATAAAATCTATATAGAGGATGCTTCACCCTTAAAGGACACTGCACAAATATTTCTAATTCTCTTCTTGGCTGTACAGTTGCAGGTCCTTCAGGACAAAGGGGAATTAAACAACATCACCTTTTGTGGGTGAATGACATAACCTGGTGGTGAAGATGTGACCACTAGGCAAGGAGTTCTCAAAATGCTTTAAACATAGGTAAGTTCCCTTTCTCACTAGTTCCTTAAAACAAATTCTCCATTTTTGGTTGAATGTACTCCATTATCTAATCTGAGTTGAAAAGTGTATAGGTTTTCATTCAGTCAAGAAAACAGGACCTACTCATTTAAAAGTTCTTACTGATCCAATCAATAAGAATTGAACCTTTCCCAATCAAACTGATAGACCCGTTATTTGTACAGTTTTGCAGTTGACAATCATAGTTGGTTTTCTTTGGCTTGATTGCTTGATCCTAATGAACCTTTCATATTTTTAACGAAATTATCATCTTACATTTATTTTCTTTGCCTTTCTATTAGAAATATGAAGTGAATTTTTGCATTATCATTTGATTTATAAGTAAAAGCAAGCTAAACCAGTTGAACTAATACTCTTCTATCAAAACTTTTAAAGCACTTATTCAGTTGGTATAGTTTTGTCAATCTTAAACATTCATTATATACAGTATAGTTAATACAAAATAATGTAATTAATATCCACTTAGTCTAGATTAACATCTTTTAGCAGTGTTTCACTCACATGAATGATCTGGGCTTTCAGGAGAGGTTAACAGTGACTTAGCTGAGGGGCACCAGTGACCCTCCCAGAGGGAAGCAGTTTTTAAAACCCTTCTAGATATCAAACTATGTCCAAAAATAATCCCAGAAAATGGTAGAAGGAAGAGAGTAAGTAAGAAACTGGAATAAATCCTGATTTTTTTCATCAGTTCTGCAGCTCATTTTTCTCATACTAAAGGTGTACAATGGTCCGGTCTGGATCACTGCAAGTATTATGAACAAAAATTGGTTTGGAATCTGCTTTCTGGGTGTATTTCTGTTCATTTAAATGAGGGTTCATGTTACATTTCAGAAATCAGCAAGCTAGGGTAAGAATGGTGTTTTCCAAACCCAAAACTATTTTTAGTATAATAGCTCTTACAATAGGGTTCTCTTTCCTTAAAAGGTAAAATCCACCTATTAGTTTGCTTCAGTGCAAACTGATCTGCTGGTTTTTGTGCCGTTATGCACTCAGCTATGTGGTAGCCAGCAAAAGAAGTGTAGAGGCATTCTGATGGCAAATTCTTTCTATCCTTAGTCAAAATGTTTTCCTTTGGAGTTATCTGCCATATAACACAGCACTGTTGGTGTTTCTTATTCTAAGGAGTCAACAGACTTCAAGGTTTGTGTGTAGTGCTGTAGTCTGTTCCCCCAGAAGATTAGATTTTTATGCCAGTAAAACTTGCAGTGTATTTTACTTGCAAAGCAGAATAACAACAGACTGAACTGTCAGAAGAACAAATTACAATATAAAATTTCCAACTTAAGGAGATTTTATGAATGCTAAGATCTGAAAGTTTTATCAGTGGCTTTTGAAGAGCAAGTTTAATATGAATTGCCTAGAATTATTTCAAATAAGGAATCCCTAGCTGCACATGCAAACAAATCTTTGAGAAACATCACTGTATTATGTGTTATAAAGGGATCTACTTAAGAGCTTCACAATGAAAACGGTGTATAACTTAGAAAATTCTGTGGATAACCCAGCACAGGTCATGGCACACGTTTACTCTGCTTGGAGGAGAGGGCTGTACTAGATGATCTTCAGAGGTGTCAACACACTTAACCATCTACTTGGGACTTTACTGACGAGACTGAAATGAGCAGTTTGTTCAGCTGTGTTCTGTTTGTAAAACTTTAATATGGAGAACACCAGCCATCTCTGCATTAATTGGGCAGATTCTTGTGAAGATTTATTTTATTTATATTTGCTTTTGATGACTAGTGTTGTTTATATTTTCAGCTCAAAAATTTAATGGTACGGTATAGTCCCACAGAGAGGAAAATAAGTGTAGTGCTACATGTTCTACATTTTTCTTTTCTGAAATCTCTCTGTCTGGCTTCCCAGTTGATTGCATTATAGGAGAATATTGGAGAACAATTTCATTCTCTGCATTTCAGAGTCTGGCAATCAGGGCAACTTGTATTACTCACTAAGTGTGAAAATACTCCAGAGATTTAAGAGAATCTGCATGAATTTGGCACAGAATAGACAGAATGAAATTATTGTCAGACAGTGTAAACAGGTCTGTTTGCTGCTCTGCTATACACTGTATGATCTCGGATAAGGTAATGTTTATTTGGTGAAGAATGCCGTGAATTAAGGTAGTGTAGTGTTTTTTTAAATGTATTTCATTTTTAGTAAAAGTATATAGTTTTGTGTAAAAATTACTCCCAAATACTGCTTCATTGTAGAATTGTTCACAGCAGTTTTATGTAATTTTTATTCATCTATTAAAGAAAAAGTGAAAAAAGAGGAAAACTAGGGCAAACAAACAGCCAAATATGTACTGACACACAAAATCCAAGTTACACTCTTATACTTTTGTAAAGATGCTTGAAGCAAAATTCGAAGCCAACAGCTCCATAAAGAATCCTGCATGAATGCTACGGTTGCCTCTATCTTTGATCACCTCAGAAAAAAAAAAAAATATTTGTTGTTAAGGTAAAAAAAAACAAACAGGTAATTAGGA